CCTCCATCACCCTCCCCTCGCTACTATGTCACTCTAGCAGCTTCCTGACTGCCACCGCCCAAAATTGCAACTACATGGCCAACGTGCTGGGCAGTCAGTGCTAGCTGCCCCTGCCAGCAAGCCCTGACCTACTTTGGTGCTGGTAGAGGCTGATGATGTCATCCTCAGTTAAGCTCTCAGACTGGGGTTTGTGAGTCGGACTTTGAGGCTGGCTTCAGTTCTGAATGCCAGAGTGCTGTCCAGGGATGTCACAGAGCGATGGGGACAGAGCAAGGGCTAGGAGTGAGGACGGCAGCTCTCTGGAGACCCTACTGTCCTGCAAGGAAGCTGGCATCAGTTCCCAAATCCCTTTGGGGGAATTCTGGGTTGTGTGGTCTGAACCCCAAGCACCCCATCACACAGGAACTGGGAGTGGGAACAGGGGTCAGGGAGGATTTCTGAAGCACTAGACAAGGGAAGCCTCTCACCAATGTCTTTGCTGAGTGTGTTAATTTGAGCACTTTCCAATCATCTATTAGGTATCAACCACGCCAGCAGGGCACAGAGCCGTTGGTGAGGGTACAGGTGATTAAGATATTGTCTCAACGCTCAGCGGCTCCCTGTCAGGAGTCTGAGAGAAACATCAAGCAACAAAAACACTATGAATAATTGTGAACATGGAGACACAGCTGTGACCAATTGTGCGGCGAGCTCATTGGGCTCAAGAGAGACCAGCCGAGGTTTCACAGAGGGGGTGTATCTTGAAAGATGAAGCGTCGTAAGACTTTTCAAGTGCAGATGGATTGCCACCAGGCCTGGCAGGGGCTGCAGCTCAGGCCAGCACTGTGCATCTGAGGTTTCTGGGTCCATAGCCCAAAAGTGGGGGTGGGAGGCAGGTGCAGGAAACAAGGGTTAAACTTGACCCATATGGGCCCCCATGCCGTGCTCTCAAGCTAAGATGTCATTCTATCAGTGGTGAGGACCCAGTGAGGAATTTAGGCAGGTCTGAACAACATCTTAGGGTGTCAGTACCCTCTTAGATGCAATCGTGGGACGGGGGTCAGGATGGAGACAGGAGAGCACTGGGAACACCGACACCTTGGGGACAAGGATGGGGGGCTGGGATCCTTGCCAGATCCAGAGGAGGGTGGGTATAGAGATCAGATGACAACAAAGGCCAATCTGCCTCTGCTCCTCATGCCTCCGCTCCTATTGCCGGCCTAAGACATGACCCACCCTTAACCAACGGCTTGTTTTCCTTGCATGCCTCTGTATGTATCTGTATGCTCACCTCACCCAGGCATTCCCACATGACAACGCATACGGAGGAAGCGGGGAGACACAGACAGGCTGAAGGTAGATGAGGCGGAGGGGTGGGTCATGAGGGACACAGACAGTCTCCTCTTTAGGCAGGAGAGCCTGAAGCCTTCACTCTCTCTTCACCCACCCTTCCAGTGAACAGCATCTGTGAGATGAGCCCATCGGGAGAAGGATCAAGTCCCTAAATCCTGAGCGCTCCCCCAACCACAAAGTGACAGCACGGTCCCTGAGAAGCCAGATGAGACTGTTGGGGAATCAAGATGTCCCCAGATTGGGCACTCAGCTGCTATGAAGTGGCCCTGACTGTCTCCCTAGGGTCAAGAGTGCCACCGAGCATGGGATTGAACGGGACAAGGGGAAGGCTAGCCAGCTGATCTCTTGGCTACAGGGAGATGGCCCTGAGTGCCATTTAATGCAGTGTGACACCAGGGCCCCCTGGCAGCACAATATTCCATGTCATGGTAATGAAGTCTGACATCTCCTCTCTGGTGCCCCAGCATGTGTCTTCCCAGCCATTCCTACTCCAGGGGTCAGGGCCAAGTAAGGGAGGTCCCCAAAGTACCACCCTTGTCACCAGGGGCTATGTAGCGGGAGCCAGCTGCACTATAGCAGCTTGGGTGGGCGGAAGGGCAGCCCTGGAGGAGCAAGAAGGAAACAGATTCATGGGAAAACCAGAAGCAGATGAAGAAAGACAGTTGGTGTCTACAGAAAACCCTACAAGTAAAGAGATCAGATCCTAGCTGGGCATGGTGGCTTATGCTTATTGTCCCAGCAATTCTGGGAGGCTAAGGCAGTTTGCCATGAATTTGAGGTCAGCCTGAGCTACAGATTGAGACCTTTTCTCAGGAATGGGAGTGAAGAGGAATATTAAGCTACTCAAAGTATACAGGGAAGGGATGCTGTATGATACTTTATTAGGGAGAAGTCACTTACTTGAGAAGCCGAGAACCTGAGGTCAGTCCTCTGTTGGTCTCTGAGCCTCGACCGGAACCCAGAGAGAAGAGTGCCCCCTTCCTCCTAGCTCCTTATGCCCCTGCCCTCCAACACATACCTGTGGCTACGCCCAAATGGGCGTGGTTAGTGCTACAGGTACATAAGATCTCTCCCTACATGGGAGGGTATGCTGGGACAGTCCCTTCGAGTAAGTCACTTTACCTCTCTGAAAGTCAATATCTAAACAGCTCAGGGGAGGGTGTTTCTATTACTGTCAGTGTAGGGTTTGTTTAGTTTCTGTTTGTGGTGGGTTTTTGTCTTGTTTAGAAAACAGGGCATTTGTTGGAAAGAAAATGCCAAGCAAAGACAATAAAGGTTCTGGGAAGATGAAGTCAGATCTTACACCAGCACAAGCTACTAGGGAATGGGAGGGTAGTGGGCCTAAGCAGCAAAACTGGGCCTGCCCTTTCGGTGGGCGGAGGTAACCATGAAGGCCTTGCCTATTTTACCCTGGCTCCAGGGAATGTCTGGGGATCAGAACTCTGGCAGCGGCCCCACCCTTCCCCTTCCCCATCTTGCTCAGGCCTCCTAACCAGAGAAGACAGAGGGTAGTCAGGGGTTACCTAGGGCCACAAACGAATGATCCACTCACCCTGTGACTCTCAAGGAGCAAACTGTCCTTATGAGGACCACCTTACCAGCTGCATTATATCAGTGGAACTAACAGCACAACAGAGCTCCCTTATCTCTCACAGTAATAGCACCTGCAGCTCCCAGCATCTGAACGGTGCTACAAACTGCACAAAGAACCTCTCACTAATGATCTCATTTAGTTCTCCCCGGGATCCTATGAAGGAGGTACAGAACCACTCTCCATATGTGTCAGGTGCAGAAACAAAGACTCTGAGAGTTCAGTTACCTTTATAACCTCACAAAGCCCAGCTCTGAGTGCTCCCTCCTCCTCCACACCCTTGAAGGTCCTCACAGAGCCCTGTATATGCCTCACATATTACGAGCCAGAAAGCATGGGGGTGGTGGGCTAGGAACAGGCAGAATCTTCAGAAATGGGTGTCCACTGGGTGTTGTCTGTTAGAGCCCTGGGGAATCAAGAACGACTACACCCGACACGAACAATCAGCATCTCCTGAGCACCTGCTGTATACAGGGCCGGGGGGGCTGATGCTGGAGGAAGAGCACAGCCCTGACCCTAGAAAGTGAAGACAGAACAACGCCTTTGTCACGGGTGTGGTACCAAACTCAGATACTGTTTCACAGTTGAAGAAGTTGAGCTACAGACAGGATGCCAGAACAGAGGAGGCAAACTTTTTCTGTGATGGCTTAAGCTTTGCAGGCCCTGTGTGTCCCTCCAGTAGATTACTAGCCTTTAGTTGTTTTTTTGCTTTTGTTTCTGTTTTGTTGTTGTTCTGTTTTTTTAAGGATTTCTTTTCTTTTTAAGGAAATATTTTGTTTGTTATTTGGAAGCAGGAGGCATATGCCATGGAGTTCGTGTGGAAAGCAGAGAGCAACTTGCAGGAGCTGGTTCTCTCCTTCCACCACGTGGGGCCTGGGAACTGTCTGGGCCAGCAGGCTGGCAGCAAGTGCCTTTCCCTGCCAAGGAATCTTGCTGGCCCTCTTTCATTTTTTTTTCACGGCAGTTCTTTAAAAACATAGACACTCCCAATGAATACAAGTATCAAAACATCACATCGAACCCCCTGTGTATGTACAATTATTACCCGTCAGTTAAGAGCTCGTTTTTAAATGAAGCTGGGGAGATGACTCAGTCAGTAAAGTGCTCACTTTGAGTTGGATCCCCAGAACCCATGTAAAAAAAGCCAGGTGTGACTGTGTGTTTATAATCCCAGTGCTGGGAGTCATGCAGGTCCCTGAACCTTGCTGGACAGACAGACATTCTGGCCCACTTGGTGAGTCCCAACCTTATAAGGTGGACAGCACCTAAGAAATGGCAGCTAGCATTTTCCTCTGGCCTCTACATACAAATGCACACATGTGCACCTGCACCCACACACACATGAACACACACACACACACACACACACACACACACACGGAATTTAAGTGTTCTCAGTTTGAGGGAATTTGGTCCCCAGCTACAGTTTGTTGGCCCCTGTTCTAGAGGTTCAAGCAATCAATTGCTCCCTGAGCTAAGGTTCATTCAACTAACCAACCAAGATTCCAAAGCTACTCTGTTCTGAGCCTATGCCAAGACCTGGAGGTACTTATTACATAGTTCATGTCTTTGGGGGGGGTGCCTACAGCACTGGGGAAGTCTGATAGGGTAAGGAAATACTGTCAGTTCAGTGCATGCTGGGAGGTGATTCAGGACAGGGCAACCAGAGGCAGGAAGGGGAAGTGTTTCCAGGGGGTTTCCTATGTGCCCCAGGATGGGGAAGAAAAGGGGCATTTTAACCTCTCCCTTCTTACATCTGCCCCCTCCCACAGTGGGTGTGGTCCATGAGGGCAATGACACGTGACCCTTTTTGACAATTCCACCTCGGCACCTACAGTGCCCAGCAAGGGCAAGCGCAGTCACGGCACGAGAGGTGTGGCATCTGGTGACAGCTGCTGAAGGAACAGGGACAACGGAAGGGCTGCTCCCCCTTCCTGCTCCAGGGTGAGCAAAGTGGACTTGCTGTGCTCAGGCAGTTGTCACCCCAACCCCCTCATCCTCACCCTGGTCACTCTGCTCTCACCCAACACTTGATAGTCACTCCCCAGTCGAGCATACTCAATTAAGCCTCAGTTACCCGCAGCCACCAAGCGAGACGAAAAGATGGGACTCTGGTTCTGCACAGAGCCAGAAGGAGCTGAATGGGCTTCGGACCTTTTCGAGGAGACACACATACCACGAGCACTTTCTGGAACCTGCAAGAAAGAAGGGTCATAGGTTCTCAGAGCTGACAGCTCACACTCGAGGCCAGGCCCTGTTCATAGCTGTTTGTTAATCAGCTTACATCTCAAACATAGGCGACCTCCCTTTTGCAAGTAAGGAAACTGACACTCAGAGAGGTTGTGACTTGAGGTCACACAGCTAGGGAGAAACAGAGTTGAAGGACTCTGCTTTTTCTGTTTTTCTTTACCTTAGGAAGGAGAGGGGGAAGGGCAGTCTGTCCTGTAACCCGGGCTACTCCGGAGAGCAAATCCCATCTTCACCAAAACAGAGGTACCACAGCATTGTCATGGGGACCCATCTTTATATTGTATCTCTGTGTGCCAGGCCCTGGAGACATGAGTTAGAGAGAGTCCCTCTCACAGGAAACCAACAGGCCAGGGGGCGAAGGACCAAACAGTCCGGGCTGTTAAGACACACTAGTACCCTGGAGAAGTAGCGTATGATGTATCTGCATATGGAGGCTGCAGGGGCTCCATGCCCTTGGCTTCCCCTGCAGTCTGTAACCATGTGCTTGTTGCTGTTACTGACTGTTCAGCACACATTAGACTGTACTCCAGGCTGTACCTAAGCAGATGTGGTGCCTGGTATAAAGTTAGGGCTTAAGCAATAGTCTAGAGTGAGTGAGTGAGTGAGTGAGTGAGTGAGTGAGTGAGTGAATGAGTGAATGAGTGAGTGAGTGAAAGGATGAACCATAATTCCTACTCCCCAGAAGCCTGACATTTAGGAGGGAAAATTAAGATATGCATGGACTCTTGCAATATGCTGTGTTGAATGCCACAAGAACAACAGAGTAGATGGTGCATAGGTGAAGGGAAAGGGACCCAGTCCCACCCAGGGAAGCTGGGCAAGGCATCCTGGAGAGGGAGATGCTGTGGCCATACCCTGAGAGTATCCTACAGCAATGCGGAAGGGGGATCCCTGAGCAGAGAGGACAGCCCTCACTAAGATAAGCTACACGGCCCCACCCGGCTTTCTGAGCTAGGTCAGAGAAACTCTACATGCTATTACGAGGCCGTCTTACAGGTGTGGGTGGAAAGGGGAGGTAAGGAGCCACAGCTGGAGATGGTGGGGAGGAGCTGGGACAGCCCACAGAAGGCCCTCCCACCATGTCAGAGGACAGACCTTACTCCCAGACAGCTAGAATGACTGAGGGTTTAAGCAAAGAGATGCATTTCATCTGTGTGTTAGAAAATGGCCCTGCGGGGGTGAGAGAGATGGGCTGGGCGAAGGGGAGCTCTGGCAGGCAGGCCATCAGGAGACTGGAAGGGAGCGGGGACTGTGGAGAGCAGAGAGCATCAGAGGGAGGTGAAGAGTGAGAGGACAGGACAGAAGCAAGCAGCCATTTGGCTGTGAATGAGGAAAGAGGTCACTTAAGCTCTCAGAGCCTCAGTCTGAGCTACGAAATGAGGATAAAATGAAGTACCCAGCAGTGTCATTGTGAGCAGTCGTGGATGGAGACGAAAAGGCCAGAACAGGGTCTGGCAAGCAGAGATGGTTTCTCCTCATGCACCTTGCTGTGCCTTTGTGCCACGTCTTATACTATTGGTGTGTGTGTGTGTGTGTGTGTGTGTGAGACAAAAATACATAGGACGTACAACTTACTACTGCTGAGTGGGCACTTCCATAGGACTCAGTACATGAGTCATCACCATTCATCTCCATAGTTATGTTCATGTTACAATCTGAAAGTCTATACCAGCAAACACTGACTCCTGTCTCCCCTTCCCCCAGCCCTGGCTTATCCCTGTTGTGGCTTTTGCCATAGTCCCATTCCTTGCCGGGTATGGTGGGTTACACCTATAATCCCAAAACAGGATGATGAGGCAGGAGGACTGCTGTAAATACAAGGCCAGCTTGGGCTTCAGAGTATCCTGACTCAAATAAATAAATAGGTAGATAGATAGATGATAGATAGATAGATGATAGATAGATAGATAGATAGATAGATAGATAGATAGATAGATAGATGAAAGGAGGGAGGGAGGAAGGAAGGAAGGATGCTTCTTAAAGTGTGAGTAGTATTTTTTTATTTTTTGTTCGTTTGTTTGTTTTTCGAGACAGGGTTTCTCTGTATTGTTTTGGAGGCTGTCCTGGAAATCACTCTGTAGACCAGGTTGGCTTTGAACTCACAGAGATCCGCCCGCCTCTGCCTCCCGAGTGCTGGGATCAAAGGCATGCGTCACCACTGCCCAGCGAGTAGTATTCTTGGTACCCACCACATTTTGTGTGTCTATTGGTCTCATAGTGGTAAGTGAAATATGGTGAAACAGGATTACTTCCACATTTTAGCTACTGTACCTACTAAGGTCGTGAGTGTGAGTGTGTAATAAGCTCTGATGACTGTTTTCAGTTTTTAGAAATATAACCCAGAAGCGGAATTGCAAGACCATGTGACAATTCTACGTTTAACTCTTTGAGGCACCACCATAGTATTGTCCGTTGCCAGCTGTGTGAAGGCTTCACTAACACTTTCTGTGGTCTGGCATTTCACTAGAGGTCATCCTAGTGGGTGTGAGATGGGCTTACAGTTTTTTAGCAGGAAGCAGAACCAGGCTCACAGGGAAATGAATGAACTGTCCCAAGGTGGGAAGGCAAGGTCCCGGGGCTGGAGCACCACCGCTTGCCAGGGTATGTGGTGCATCAGGGCTCCCTCCAGAGCATCAGAAGGGTTCCAGGTCCCCGGCAGATCCAGCCCACTCAAAGCTGGTCACACAGTGTGCTCATTCACTCACCGCGCCAAGTCCACTGAGAAATCAGAAACCACTCCAGGCTTTCAAACAGAGGGATGTAACTGATGGGTCCAATTCCTTCTTGTGACAGGAGAGGTAGGGAGCTCACATTAGCAACATAGGAAGCTGTTCCCTTCATGGGGCTGGAACTAGAGCAGTAGTGTTCTATAAGAGCTCAACCCAGATACCGCCAGACAGAACGTGGAGCCACTGTGGTCAGTCAGAGGGACCTGGGCTATGAGAGGAGGGGCTTGTTCACAGAAGCCAGGAAAGAGAGGCAGTTGCTGTAAAAATATGGCCCCACAGAGACAAAGAAAGATCTTGCCTTCTCTCTTCACCTACCTCCTTCCAGTGGCTTTAATTGTCTGAACTCAGCCAGAAGCCAGAAGGTAAGTGAGTCTGGGAAATGTAGTTTCCTTGGGACATACAAACCAGAGCTGGGAAGAGCCAGAAATAATCAGGAAGCAGCAGGCAGATGCTGGGCACATTCATTCCTCCTTCCATCCATTCTCTTGTTCATGTTTATTGAGCATCAACAAACGGGGGACTGTAAATGAAGAATGCTGGGTCCCTCCCATCCTCAAGGTGCTTAGGATTCAGCAGTACCGGGGCTGTATCCTGCATCACACACTCAGAGCCAGCCAGAGACTTCTGTTCACCCATCCTGGAGCAGGGGGCGGGGCAGAGGCTGGAAGCTTACAGGGTACCCAGGGGCTATGGGGGAGTTCCACCTATGCTGGGGATTAGGACGGGCAAGTTGCTCGGCTGCTGTGCCTCCTCCCCGGCTGAAAGCTCAGCTCAGAATGAACGTCTCTAAAAAGGAAAGAAAACCCCTTCAATCCCACTGTTTGTCTTTGGAACCTGGGAAGTGAGGGTATAATGAACATGAAACGAGCAGGCTGCTCAGAAGTTGCCTTTGAAACCTTGCGGGCCAGCTTTGTCAGGGAGCAGCCCTCCTTTTCAAAGCCTCCTAGCTCTGAGCTACCCTCTCCTCCCTCATCCCTATCAGGCACTGGCTAATTAGCTGGAGATGTTAACTGCTCCCTGGCCCTATGAGAGAGGAGTCTCTGCTTTTCTGGGGACCTGTAGCAGGGCTGGTGAGCCCAGTGCTTCTACTAGTACTGTACCCCATTCCCCTCATGCTCCCCCATCTTCACTGTGCTCACACTATGTTTCTCTCCGTGCCCAGCTGTGCACCCCCTCCCCATGGCTGTGCTAAAACACACTTCTGTTTCCTCAGATTTTGTCTTCTAAACGTGCCTCTTCCCAGAAGCCTTCCCAGAGTGTAGCGTCAAGCCACACTCTAAGTCTTGGGTGCTTGTACACACCCCTCCTTAAATGACCTGGCCAGCATGAGTATCCCTCGCCAACTGTTGGGCCCCAGCCCCATGGGGTCTCTGTGAGTTGCTGGTCAGCCTACAAGTGCAACTTGTTTTCCAGTCCAAGTGCTTTCTGTTTTCTAGTCCTGGCTTACTGCCCTGGCCTTGACCCTCTGACATCAACATCCAGCAGGAGGAAAACAACCATCTCTTCTACCTGGGGTTTTTTCCACTGTGCTGTAAACTTGTATAAAAAGCTCCTCCCTCCTATAAGGGAGAGACCTCTTAGCACTTGCAATGAAGACACACACACACTCTCCTGGCAATAAAGGCAGCACATGCATTCTCTTAGTACAAACAAATGGACGTCTGGTCTCTCTTTTCCTGATACCCTGGACTTGCTTGTGGCGCTGGCGCGGCAATTGGAGGTTCCACTGAGATCCAGAGAGACTTGGAAAGACTGGGAAAGATTGGCCAGAAAGAAGACTCAGGGGAGGAGAAACTCAAGAAAGAAAAGAATTAAACAGGTACCTCAACTTCTAACAGTAAAATTAAATGGTCAAACCTCCAGGCTTTGCCTGAGAGATCACCCTAGGTTGGAGGGTGGATTGGATTAAATCTCCAGGCCTTCGCCTGACACCAAGGTCAGGAAAGAAAGGGGAACCTGAGAGATCACCCTAGGTTGGAGGGTGGATTGGATTAAATCTCCAGGCCTTCGCCTGACACCAAGGTCAGGAAAGAAAGGGGAACCTGAGAGATCACCCTAGGTTGGAGGGTGGATTGGATTAAATCTCCAGGCCTTCGCCTGACACCAAGGTCAGGAAAGAAAGGGGAACCTGAGAGATCACCCTAAATTAGAGGGTGGATTGGATTAAATCTCCAGGCCTTCGCCTGCCAAAGGTCAGGAAAGTAAGGGGACCCTGAGAGATCGCCCTCAGTTGCGGGGGTGGATTGGATTAAATCTCCAGGCCTTCGCCTGACACCAAGGTCAGGAAAGAAAGGGGAACCTGAGAGATCATCGTCAGTTGGAGGATGGATTAAGAGTGGGTAAACTAAAATTGGTAACAGTTAATAAAGGAGGTACTGGTATTAAGTAAAAGAAAAGGAAAAGATAAAAGTATATAGAATGGAAAATACACAGAGAGTCTGGATACTGTGTACAGTTGTGGTGTCTTTAAATTGTTTAATTGCTGAGAAAGGAACAAAAAACTGCTAAAAGACAATTGATTATTAATGCTGCTAAATTAATCCAACTTGCATGTTTTGAAAATGCTTTGACTTCTAAATTTAAATATAAGGACAGGTTACTTGGGAAAAGAATTTCTGCTTTTGTTTCCACAGAACATAAAAAGCTGTGGGTTCCTTCCAGACTAGTATGGTTTGATAAAGCAAGACCACCTGAAGCAGTGGCCCAGGTGATCCAACACCTAAAACAGCTGAGATGATGCAGCCTTACAGACCACAAAAACAAGAACTTCAACAGGGTTCTGGGTTTGTTTTTTTGTTTTTGTTTTTTGTCATGATCCCCATGGTATTTCAGCGCCCCTTAACAGCAGGAAGTAGCTTGGAAAGAACGACGCCCACATTCCCAAATATTGTTTATAAATGTTTGTTTTTGTATACTAAGATTGACATTAACATCCTAGTCACCTGAGATAGGTGCTAATTTATATATAAAGAAGGGGGATGATGTTGGGCCCCAGCCCCATGGGGTCTCTGTGAGTTGCTGGTCAGCCTACAAGTGCAACTTGTTTTCCAGTCCAAGTGCTTTCTGTTTTCTAGTCCTGGCTTACTGCCCTGGCCTTGACCCTCTGACATCAACATCCAGCAGGAGGAAAACAACCATCTCTTCTACCTGGGGTTTTTTCCACTGTGCTGTAAACTTGTATAAAAAGCTCCTCCCTCCTATAAGGGAGAGACCTCTTAGCACTTGCAATGAAGACACACACACACACACTCTCCTGGCAATAAAGGCAGCACATGCATTCTCTTAGTACAAACAAATGGACGTCTGGTCTCTCTTTTCCTGATACCCTGGACTTGCTTGTGGCGCGGGCGCAGCAACACACTTCTGTTTCCTCAGATTTTGTCTTCTAAATGTGCCTCTTCCCAGAAGCCTTCCCAGAGTGTAGCGTCAAGCCACACTCTAAGTCTTGGGTGTTTGTACACACCCCTCCTTAAATGACCTGGCCAGCATGAGTATCCCTCGCCAACTGCCATTCAGCCTTACTACAGGAAAATGTCCCCAAACACACTGCTGCAGAATATTCATGTCAATGGGGGAGGAGAGGCGGGCTGGGGCAGACAGGTGGACCCCCAACCTCACCACTCGGGTGTCACAAGTAGCCTGTCCGTGATGCTGCATAATAGCCCTGAGCAAGGCATGCCTCACTCTCTAGGTTTCAGGTCTCATCTGTAGGGAAGAGGAGGGAGTCCTGTACCGACCAAACCCATTGGTTCTCAAATACCCAGGTCTACCCCCGCCACTCTGATTCAACAGGTCCAGATGGGGACCTGAAATCTGGGTCCTGTCTTCACCTCACTATGTACCCCTGGCTGGACTTTAACTTACAGCAACCCTTCTGCCTGTCTCCCAGTGTTGGGATCGAAGCCTTCCATCTATTACACTAGGATGCCTGACCTAAAACCTGCATTTCTAACATGTCTCCAGGAGCTGAGGCTCCAGCCAAGAGAACTACGATGAAGAGCCTGGGGGAGGAGGGTGGATGGGTTTGGTAGATGGTTTTGACTTTTTTGTTAGAAGGAAGGCTATGTTTGTAGGAAACTCAAGCAGGGGCATGTAGACATGCTGATGGGAGAGACTGGGCAGGACCCACCTTACCCAAAGCGGCATGGCCTTTATTTGTGGCATTTGCTTACCTACATGTCGAAACAAGACTTAATCAGCATTGAGGGTCTAAGCTGGAAAAAGTTTGGAAGATTGCCAACTAAAGGAGATGTCCCTTGCTGATGGCATTCCAGAATCCTGTGGCCCCTGTACACCCTTCCCAGGCTCCTCCAGCTTGCCTGTACTTACAACCAATGGGTGTAGGAAGCAAGGACAGGTGTTGAATTGTAGGGGAGAGGACACAGGGAAGGGAGAGGAAACTGGTAAGCTCCAGACCATTGTTTCCTGGGGACATATTTCAATGGGAATGCACCATGAAGTAATTGCAAACACACACACACAGAGAGAGAGAGAGAGAGAGAGAGAGAGAGAGAGAGAGAGAGAGAGAGAGAGAGAGAAAGACTCTTTCCTCTGCTCAAACATCCCCCTCCAGAAACACCCTGGGGTCCAGATGGGTTGCAAGGTAAGAGGCAAGGGAGTAAGCATGTACACATGTGTAAAGTCTGTATGCATGAAAAAGTCACCAAGAGAGTTTTGATTGGAGTGGTCAGAATGCAGAAAAATGTTCATGAAAGAAGCCCCCTAGAAGCTGAGTACAGTGGAGCATGTCTTTAATCCCAGAACTTAGGAGGCAGAAGCAGGCAGATATTTGTGAGTTCAAGGTCAGCGAGTCTACGTGGTAAGTTCCAGAACAGCCAGCGCTATATAATGAATCCCCATCTAAAAGAAGAAGAGGAGGAAGAGAAGGAGTTAAAGAGGAGGAAGAGGAGTTAAAGAGGAGGATCTACCATAGAAGGAAGAGAAAGAGTTGAAGAAGGAGGAGAAGAAAGGATGAAGATGAAGTCTCCTCAACCCTCAAAGTCTCACAGCTCAAGACCCCCAAGTTCAAGCCCCTAGACTTTAAGCCCCTGGAGTATCTGATAAAAAGACAGATATTCGTCTGCAATTGGAACCAGGGCTTCCTGCTGCCTGGGTCAGGGATCTGCTTTAGCTCTACACAGATGTCAAAGGAGCTCCCACACACCACAGTGACATCAGCTGAAACGAATGGAGCATCGTGGCAAAGAGACAAAAATTCCACAGAAAAGAATCAAAAGAATCCAAAGCAGACAAATCCCTTCCAGCCGTGCTGTCCCCACCCACATCGCCATACCCTGTCCAGATGCTCAAAGAGATGCCCCTTCCAGGAAAGAACCTGCTCTGCTTGCTGCCAGGCTAAAGAGTGGCCAGAGAGTTACAGGGACTTCAAGGTCAACAGCAGGCCTGACAGCCCCTGAGCAGCCTGAGCCCATGGAAAATCTTTCACAGAAAGAGAAACAACAAAAAGAGAACACACCCAAGCACTTAAGGTGAATAGGGTTCTCCAGAGCCCAAAGTTCTGTGTAGACTTGGCAGAAAGACCAACAGACAGGAGTTAAGAAACTGTGTGTGTGTGTGTGTGTGTGTGTGTGCACGTGTGCGTGTGTGCTCGCATGTTTATTAAATTGTATAAAAATGTTTGTGCAAACCCAAGAGGGGCTAACAGAGAATTGTACAGGCCAAGGAAAAACACACAAACTAGTGTGCACCTACATATACATGTGCTCACACATGTATGCATACACATACATACACATGGGCATACATGTACACATGTACACATATGCACTTATGTACATACATACATACACACACACACACACACACAGGCTGTGTGTAGGTGGTACCAGGAACAGGAAATTCAAGGGCTGAACTGCTGTCAGAGTAAGCCAAGAGCAGACTTGTTTGTGTCTGTGGCAGCAGGCTGTGACAGAAGAGGACAGAGCATGCCTATGCATGTGGACCACATGGGTGTATGCCTCAGGAACCTGTGTCTACCCCTGCAGTCAACAATGTGCGCTCATGCTTTGGGGGATCAGACACTTCCAGGGTCTCCTGGCCTGGGGTCTTTGCTCACAGTCCCATCGGTTACTACTCAGGACCTCTCTTGCCTTCAATCCCGAGATGCTCCTCTCGCTCTCTACTTCTTTCTCTCTAGGCGCTAATATGACAGTCCCCAGCCGTGGGACAAGCCTCTCTGTTCTCTCTGTACAATAACCATCAAGTGACTGTTCAGATCCCGTCCTCCTCACCTGACTGTGAATCTAAGTAATGGATCTAATAACAAAGACCTCGAGTCACAGCCTCAACTTCAGAGTTTGCGTCTTAAACCTTGTGACCTTGTGCAATTCCCCAAATCCTTCTTTCTTCTTTTTCTTCTTTGTTTTAAGAAGAACAGAATTACTGCAGTGATTAAATGAGATAATGAGATAAGGAATGTGAAGCCCCTGGCCTTGCACCAACTACAAAGCAATCACTTCCTTTTCGGCCTCTAACTCAGTCTCCCAGGAGGAAAGTGGTTCAAACTCCCAGGGGCTTCCCAAGTCACACCTCCAGCCTGAAACTGGAGGTGACCTTAGAAGTCATGTGTTCTAGTCCCCACCTCACCGAGTAGTAAATGAAGACTCTGGTTCCTGGAGAGGCTTGAGGATACATAACGGAGCGGATTTGAGCATACATTTTCTGGTCTTAGCATTCATCCTTCAACCAGAGCCAGAAAGGAGCCACGGCAGTGAAGATCCAGGGTTGGGCCCCCTTTGGCTTGGACACTGAGCTCCCCGCCCCCCGGGGGTGGGTACCAGAGTCCTGCCCCTCTCAGGAGTCTTGATCAGTTCTGCTCTGGCCCAGGCTTGCATTGTCCCCTCCATTTCCTGCCCCTTCCTTGCTCCTTACCTCAGTTGTGACCCTCAGTGCTCAGGATAGCCTGTCTATGCTGGGACTTGTCCTTCCCTTGAGCAAGAGTCCCAGGAAGGAGAAGGAGGAATGCTGTGAGGACAACAGTCATGTTCCTTCTTGTGTTTGTCACACCCCGCATGGGGAGGTCTCTGAGAGAGGAGCAAGTGTGTGAGCCAGGGCTGCTGAGGCAGGACGTGATCTTGCTAGAAGAGAAAGCACAGCGGAGCAGAGGTACGATGAGGTAGGGACCACACTGCCTGCTCCGAATCCCAGCCCCATTGTCGCGTGGCTGTGTGACTTGGACAAGTCATGCAACCTTTCTGTGCTTCTGTTTTCTCACCGGCATCCATCAACTGCACCAGCAGAAACTCCCCAAATGCATTGTGGTTTTTATTTCGGTTTTGTTTTCAGAAATGGTCTCCTCACTTCACGATGGCCTACAACTCACTATGTAGCCCGGGCTGGCATCAGACCTACAGCAACCCCCCTGCCTCAGCCTCCCAAGTACAGGGATTATAGGTGTGAGCCGTCACACACTGTGGTATGTTACAAGGTTTAATTTGATAGAGACCTATGCAGTGCTTAGATTAACAGAGGACACATAATAAAAGTGAAATAAGTACTAGCTGTGATTACAATTTATCCAGCTATCAAATAAACAAAAACAAAACAGCAACAACAAGTCAATAGTGTTCATCTGCCAGTTCTCACACTGAGGTCACAGCATCACCATAGATGAGATGCTGAGAAAGGAACCCAGGGCCTCCAGCACCACATGCTAGGGAAGCATTCTACGACTGACCTCCATCCCTAATTAGCCTTTCAGTAATCATGTGAAAACTATATATTTAACAAACCGCAGTGAAGAGAAAGAATAGAGGACTGCAGTGGCTTGGAAGAAAATGCTCCCCCAAAGGGAGGTGTGGCTTTGCTAGAGTAGGTGTGGCCTTGTTGGAGGAAAGTGTGTCACTGTGGGAGGTGGGCTTTGAGGTCTCCCATGCTCAAACTACACCCATTGTGACACACAATTGCATCCTATGGCCTGTGCATCAAGACGTAGGACTCTCGGCTCCTTCTCTAGAACCATATCTGACTGCACACTGCCATGTCCCACCACGAAGATAATGGACTAAACCTCTGAAACTGTAAGCACCTCCCCCCCAATTACATGTTTTCCTTTATAAGAGTTGTCACGGTCATGGTGTCTCTTCACAGCAGTAGAAACCCTAAGACAAGCACTCTGAGGGCCTTTTGCGTAAGACCAAACGTGCCTGGAAGGTGGGTCAGGTCAGGCTGTGTCTGCACATCATCTGTGCACATCAGCATACACAGGCACATGAAGTGGACAAGGCCCAGCTGGGCCCTGCTGGTCTAGCCAAGGCACATGTGATGTACTGAGACCCTCTCACCTCAGCTGCTACTTCACTTCCGAATCCCAGGTGGCAAAGCTGGGGACGGGTGTGACAGAACCGGACTTCCTACTCCAAGGCTCCCCATTGTCCTGTTGTAAGCAGGTCCTCTTCCTGCGGACTTCCTGCACCAGCTGGCCTCCTTGTGAGTCAGACAGCTTTCTTCCCACTGTCCCATGCCAATGCACATCAGGAGGAAAACTCAGTGTGTTCTGCAAGGTGTGTTTCTGTTTATCGTTACAGTTACTGTCTTCACTTTACCGGTGGCAAAAGGAACTCAGAACAGTGAAACCACTTTAGCAAGATCTCAGCTGATATGGGAAACTCCTAGGACTACAGCAAACTCTGCTTGCCTGGAAACCCTGCAATCTTCTTCCTTTTCAAAAAATGCTTAAAATATATTCTTTGACAATTTCATACATGTACATAATGTATTTTGATCATATTCAATCCCCTATCTCCCTCCCCCAGACTTTACAATCTTTAGCCAACATAATGTGTTTTCCTTTTTCCTTTTTTAAAAATTTTAATTTGTGTATGCATGCATGTGCGACTGTGTGTGTGTGTGTCTGTGTCTGTGTCTGTGTCTGTGTGTATACATCAGAAGACCGCTTTGGTGAGTCTATTCTCTCCCTCCACCATAGGTTCTAAGGATTGAACTCAGGCTTAGGCTTACATGGCAAAGAGCCTTTACCCCCTAGGCCATCTCCCTGGCCTCATAATATGGTCTTTTAAATAGTAGAATAGAGAGGGCCTTTCGCTAACCCTCTCCCCGTATTGCATAGGCTCAGCTCTGTTCCCCACAGCAGAGAACCAGGAGGGTCTGATGAACGGTACAGCATAAAAAGACAAGAGGGAGAGTTGCTGAGGGGGGACTGGGAATCTGGAGGATTAACTTGGCTTTTGTTTTTGGGGTTTTGTTTTTGTTTTGTTTTGTTTTTGTTTTTTGTTTTTTTATTTTTTATTTTTTTAGCCTCTGGCACTGACTTGCTGTAGTCACCCAAGCACAACGGTTCTGCGCCCCTCCTTTTTCCCGAGAATATAAAACCAGACAACTGGTCTGTCCCAGAGTTATCCACACAGGGAAGCAAAAAGAGCCCTCCAGCTGGCGTGGGATAGGCGCACTGAGAGGCCAGAAGCAGAGATAAGCTGACTGAGCCACAGCCTCAAGGTGATTGACATGGACTCCCATTCTCCTCCCGGTCCCCAGGCTCAGCCCTCCAGAAGTCTGTGTGAAGGACAGTCAGTGTAGAAAGAAAGGAGCCCATAATGGGAGGCTAAGAAGAAAGTCCACCGGATGGATGCTGACAGCAGTGGTCCCTGCAGATGTTGGAGAGAGGCAGCAGGTAGCAACTGTGGATTCTGTTGAGAGAATACACACCCCTACCTCACACAGAGCATCCGAACATGGCCTTGTGCTGAGCTGGCATGTTTCGGCCTCCCAGTTGGACCACAGAATGGGCGGAAGCATCCATGAAGCCCCATTGCTGCCAGCCTCTGTGGCCCTAAGCTCCACCACGAGCTGCTGCTCCCCCCTTTAATTGACCATAATTTCTGTGATTTGCAGGTCCCAAGCTTGCCCAACGCCCATTCTCCATCATGAGAGATGGCTAGAAACAGCAAGCCATCCCCATTAGCCTAGAGCTGACCCAGCCTGGACACTTGGAGCTTGATATAGCAGGGTTCCCTGGTCTTGTCTCCCTTGAGAAGAGCCCAGCCAAGATCCTGGAGCCAGAAACAGGTGCTACACCTTAACTTTTATCCAGGAGAATCTTCTGTCAGATTTCTAACCCTAGACAGGATTGTAAGATAGACATGGGGTGTTGCTGTGAGCCCCTCAGTCTGGGTCGTTTGTTGTTGCATCAATAGGAAACACATACACATGCTCACAGTTTGAGAATGTCTGGCACACAATAAAAGATCAACAGACGTCACCTCATTGTCACTTCCATTATCTTTATGGTTGGACAGGATGGAGGATGCACGGCAGCTTCCTGTGTGAACTGCTCAGAACCTGTACCTCACTCACTGGAGAGCAGAGGCTGGGTGTCAGACTGCCAGTGGGTAGGGACAGCCTTGAACCAAAGTGTCACTTGGCACAGCCACTTTGTAAATAGAAGACAGATGATCAGCATCCCTGCAGTCCCTTTATTTTAAAGAACAGGAGTAGTGGGCACCCCGGGAGAGAGGGGTGGGCCCATCTAGCACAGACACAAAGATGTTCCTATAGTTGCCCCTGCAGAGATGACAGCTGGGAGTTTAATTGCACCCTGTTCCACTCCTTACAATGGTACTGCCAGGGAGACAGGGTGGCTGGGGAAGTCTTGGCCCTAGGGATGGGGTTGGCATCAAACCTTGCACCCCCTGTGCAATGTGCAATGAACAAGACATACTGCAGGAATGGAGTTAAACAAAAGGAGGACTTCTCTGGTACCCAGACAATGTAGGACTTACTCTGGAGACATGAATAAGTGAGAAGGGGTATTTATCCTTCCATCCTGCTTTGAGCAGAAGGTGGGGATGGGGAAGGAGATGAGACAGCCTGTTAGGATGAAGCTCGAGGGGGACCTTGTGTGGGGGACCATGGCAGATTCCATGGCAGGCGAGGGTGACCGAGGGAGGGGACAAACTTGCCAGGCAGACAGAGTTTGAGTGAGAAGTTTTATTAGAAAGGGGAGGTAGTGGGGAGGAGAAAAGGGGTAAAGAGACACAGAGAGAGGACAGAAGAGGAGAGGGAGACAGGAAAAGTCCCGTCTGCCCCCAGGGGAACAGCGGGAAAGAGAGCAGAAGGAGAACCAGGAAAGAACAGAAAGAGAAGAGAGTGGAGAGAGAGCAGAGCCGGAAAGAGGTCTTTCTTTTAAAGGGTCCTTTGCACCCGCGAGCAGACTAGTACTCATGGAACCCTGGGCTGACCAGGGCACTGCCTGAGTGCATTCTGCCAGGTGACAGAGGCAGGCCAGCATAATGCCTGAATCCTCACACAGCCCCCACAAGCTCAGTCTGGCTAATCAACTGTGGGTCACCCCACCCAGAGAATGCACCTCCTCAGGGACCCCCTCAGTTACTGCTCTAACCACTGAGTCTTTCCCCAATACCTCCAACCGGCCTCACCTTCCCCTCTGCAGAAGTTCTAGTCCCCAGACTTCCCCTCTAACTCCGAAACCTCCCTAGAGTGAAGAGACACACATATCCGTCCCCAGCAGATCTTCCACCGGGTGGCCTTTCATTGTCCTTAGTTGTAAGGTAAGAGGCTTCTGATACAACCAGACTGAGCCCAGTATAGAATGACCTAGTGTTCATAGACTTCCCTGGGACAGAGACACTTCCTGTCAGGCCACTGCACACTGGCCCTGGGTGATGGGAGCTCACTGCTGGTAGGGTCCAGGGCTTATTTTCCACAGGATTCCTAGAGGGGATGAATTGTTTGTTTGTTTGGAGCTTTGTTTTATTCTTTTTTTGTGTGTTGTTTGTTTGTTTGTTTTTTCTGAGACAGAGTCTCACTATTATATAGCTCTTTCTGTCCTGGAACTCACTGTGTAGACCAAACTAAGCCTCAGGTTCATAGAAATCTACTTTCATCTGCCTCCTGGGTACCAGGATTATATCTAGGACTATACCCAACCAGGACTGGAATTTGAAATAGCCTGCCTAGTAGGCACATTTCTGGGCATGTCTGTAAGAGTGTTTTCAAAGATGTTAACTGAGGAGGCAAGGCTCACCCAGAAAGAATGGGGACAGCACTGTCCCATGAGCTGGGTCCAGTACTGAATAAAAAAATGCAGAAAGCTGAGCATCAGCATTCATCTCTATCTGCTTCATGACTCGGGGTGCAACATGACTAGTTGCCTCTGCTCCTACTATCACAGCTAGAACCACTCTTGTCGCTGTTCCCTGCCATGACGGGCTGCACCCTCAAGACACATGAGCCGAAATTACCCCCCTCACATGCGCTTCCTCCCTTAAACTACTGCTTAATTTAGGCATTTCATCATAGCAACAAGAAAGTAACCAACTGAAATTGGTACCAGGAGTGGGGGGTCTTGCTCTGAAGGACCTAACAATATAGTTCATAGGCCTTTGGAATTGGTTTATGAGAGAAATATGGAAGAGTTTGGAGCATTGGGCTAAAGAAACCCTAGATACTATAAGCAGAGATTAATAGGTCATTCTGCTATGGATTTGAAAGACCGAAATTGTCCAAGGAAACACAGGCCAAGGTTTCATAAGAAAACAGGGACTCCATTAAGAACTGGATTACAGGCTATTTGTGTTACATTCTAGGAAAGACATTCCATCTGTGTCCTATACTTTCAAGTGAGGCTGATTTTAGAAGCAATTTCAATTTAGCATAATATTCAGGCTGTGACATGACTACTACCCACTGCTCTTAATCAGATAGACAATGAGAGAAAACAAAAATATAAGGGAAAATGTTCAGTTTGTAAAGAGTACGAGCAAGTTTAAAGTTGCAAAGAAGGCCAGTGAAGAGAAAGCAACTTTAATTGTTATAGAGATTTATGCCATTAAAGATAAATTTCATGCTCTGATCTGGTGTAGGAAATAAGCCCCGTAGAGCAAGACACTCTCCCTCCCTCAATTAAAGGCTCTTAAATGCAAATCAGTTTATAAGAAGAGAGCCTGAAATGGGAATGTCATGAAAAGGGTTCCCTGCTGGAAAACAATTAAATCACCCAGGAAAGCATTTTTCCAGGTCAATCTGTGAAAGTGCTATGGTAAAACCTAATCAGAATACACCTCAAGCTGGCGGTAGAATTTGGCAGCAGCATTCATACAGTGCTAGTTTTGCCGGCATGTAAAATGCAGGGGTTTCAAGATCATGCCGATTTGTACCAAAGTTCCAGAAAGTTGTTGAGACCACAGTGAATAGCAGGGTAGGATTCCCTGACAAGAAAAGCCTTATTAAATCGCATGAAACTGCAGACATGGACCTCAGATTGCAGTGAAGACCCCAGGTTTGGGGGAATCCTAAATGTGGGACATCTGCTGAGGGAAGCTGTAGATACTGGGTGGATCCAAGCTGAGAGAATAGCTACGTGTGATACAGGCAGAAGAATTAAGGAGACAGGCAGCACACAGACAATGGAGCCCAGCTGATGCCACCATAGCCCCAGATGCCACATAGCTACAAGGTTTGATGTTTACACTGCTGTGTCACAGGCTTACTTTGGTTCAGTCTTTCCTTGGTATACTTCTGAGACTCTCTTCTTGTAATGGGAATGTTTATTCTGTGTCATTGTGTATTGGAAGTATATTAACTTTATTTTTATTACTTTACAGGAACTCACAGTTAAGAGATTGCCTTGAGACTTAGAAGATACTTGGAACAATTCATTATAAGATTTCCATGAAGCTTTGAGGACCAT